GTAGAATAATTATAATCATTGTAATACCCAGTCTGAGTCCCCACCTGAACTGCTGGTTTGAAAATGTAAGTGCTGATATCTGGATCCTGAACAAACTGAAAATAATATAAATAGTTACTAAATACTATGCTCAGACTGATAAAATAACTGATTAATATGTTAAGATGCTCTACATGACTTTAACATGATATCTGGATTTAACTGGTACGACCAGAACTGGATAGACTCGGAATTGAACTAACATGAATTTACTGAACTGGATTGGACTGAAAATTTAACTGAAAACGGGACTGCAATCATGAACCAGGACTAAAATAATATTTAAGCATGAATCAGGGCTGAAAATGCTTAAGAACATGCTGAACCGGTTTGGACCGGTCTGGCCGATCACCAGCTCGGTCAGATGCGCACTGGGCGCGGGCTGGGCACTGGCGGGCGCTGGCTGGCTTGGTCCCGTGTGCTGGCAGGTGCTGCTGGCACCATGCGTGCACTGGGAATGGCTGTTGGCGTGCTGCTGTGCACTGCCAACAGCTACTGGGCGTGATTGGCCACTGATGTGCACGCGGGCTACAGCACTGGCGTGTGTTGGCACTGCCGGGCGCTGCTGTGTGCCACGGGCAGGAAACTGGTTACGCGGGCAACACTGCTCGCGCGTGCTGGGATGACTGGGCGCTCCGCCATGCTGCCGGGCACTGGCCGAGGCCTTACTGAGCATGCTGGCGCGCTATGAGGCGCGCTGGTGTGCGCTGGGACTGGCCAGCGTGCGCAGGGCGCTGCTGGCTGTTGGTGCTGGCGTGCACTGGCGTGCTGCCCGCCTGCACTGGCTGACTGCCGGTGCGTACTGCTGCCACAGGGTGCAGGCAGCACACTCACGATCGGTCTTTACCGACCGTCCGGCGACTTCCTCCGGCAACTTCAACATGAATCAACATGACATGACCTAACTTGACATGACATGATCATATGTACTGAACTTACTCAAGAACCAAGTACTTTGTTCGATAAAATGTCGTGGTGTGCACTACGGCCGCTACCATCGGCTTAAGGCCAATCCTCGGCCAAACAT